GCTCACCCGGGACCAGCTGTCTGGGAGCTCGGGGGGCTGCCCCTCGGCCCTTCCTGCTCTGGACTGGGGAACCCCAGCCCGTTTGGACATGTTCCATAGAAATGAGGCAAGAGGGATGCCGGATGTGGAGTGAACTGGGTTTGGCTTGGGCAGTGTCCTTGTCACTTGCCCAGCGGGGTGTGGAAGGAGTAGACATGGATGGAAAGGAAAGGGTGACAGTTGAGGCTGGAGGTGATGGAGTATGGTGGGGCTTTAAACCCAAATCTTCCCCATCAAGCTACTCCTTGTTCCTCTTGGGACTTTCTCACTCCTTCCACTTCTCTGTGTTGTTTCAGATGGGAGCAGGTGGTGGATCTGACATACTCCCTGCGCCTCGGAGCAAAGCCCAGGCCCATGGAGCAGGATGAGGCTGCAGTAGAGAAGCTTCGGTATGAACTGTTTTTTGACTTCTGCTTGTTGGGGACAAGCTGCTGTCTCTCCCTGGCTGCTCAGACAGCTGTCTCCTGCAGATGGGGGTGAAAGGGAGGGAGACAGGCAGCGGGGAACAGCTCTGTTCATCACAGTCTTGTCCTAGATAAGCCTGCAAAAGGCAGGAAACAGGGCAATACAAGGCAAGCAGGATGCAGACCTCTCTTTTTTGACCCATAAGTCTGGCTTCCTCTGGTGCTCCAGACCCAGTAATCCCTTTTCCCTGGTAGGTTTGTGCCCCCAACGTGGACTTATGAATGTGATGAAGACCTAGTGCATTTCCTGTATGACCACATTGGGAAGGAAGATGAGAACTTGGGCAGCGTTAAGCAGTACGTGGACAGCATCGATGTCTCGTCCTACACGGTGGGTTAAAGGGACAAGGCTGCGTTGGCCCAGCTGTGCCATGGGGCTGTGGAGCACAGAGCTTGCTGTGCTGCTCTGGACTGAACTGGGCTATGTTTGAGAATGTGGCAGAGAAGCCTGGAGAGCATCGTGCAGCATGTTGTGTAATGTGCCCCTGGAGGGACAGTGGTTTGAGAAGCCAATGCTAATATTAGTTGCTAAGCTGATTTTAGGGAGGGGTTGTTATTTTGTGCTCTGTGTGTGACCTCAGAGCACCTTGGAGGGCCAGTCCCAGTGTCCTGTGCGCTCTGTACCCCCCTTGTCTACCCACAGCCAGGCAAAGGGAACGGGCCAGTGTGATGCCCCCTGGCACTAAGATTCATGACAAAAGTAACCGCTAAAGGGAAGTTAATCCCACGCCCATCTGATCTTCCTTTCATTCACTGCCCTCTTCCAGGAGGACTTCAATGTGTCATGCCTGACCGACAGCCGTGCTGACACGTACTGGGAGAGTGATGGGTCCCAGGGCCAGCACTGGGTGCGGCTCAACATGAAGAAAGGCACCATTGTCAAGTGAGTCATCTCTGCTCTGCACACTGGCTTTTGACTGGGACAAGTTCTGTGACTCCCTCTCTCTGCCTGAGTCTGTCATGGCCCAAATATGCCCTGCACTCCCAGCCCCTCAGCCTTTACTCTGCCTCTGGGTTTGAAGGCGTCTTGGCATTGTCACAGCTATCTGGGGATCAGAGCACCAGCTGCATGTGCTTGGTAACAGTGTGACCAGGCAATGAAGGGGAGCAGCGACAGGTGTTCAGATGCAGTTGCCTTCTCATGTCCTGCTTCCCTTTGCAGGAAGCTGCTGCTGACAGTGGATTCCAACGATGAGAACTTCACACCCCAGCGGGTCGCTGTGTACGGGGGCGAGGGGGACAATCTGAAGAAACTGAACGACGTCTGCATTGAGGAGTGAGTGGATGGAGGTACACAGGTTAGCGTGGCCCTTGCAGGGGCTGGAGGTGCTGAACACTCCAACCCTAAGCAGTCATATGGCCCCAGCCAGGCTCTCTGAGCTGTGGGTTCACTCTGCCTACAATAGCAGACAGCACAGCCATCAGTGCTCCCGATCTGATTGTGGGACTCATCAGAATCATGTCACCTGGACCTGTGTCACCAGCAGGTTCAGGCATTCAACTGTATTGCAGGCAACTGGGTCTGGGTGCCTGCCACAGGCTCCCATTTCAAAAGATGGAAACCCTCTTCCCTTACAAGCATCCAAGTGGATTTTGGCAGGATGGGTGAGAGAACAGCCTTTCAGCCTTCATCTGTGCTGTGTTTGCAGCAGCTACATTGGGGATGTGTGCATCCTTGAGGACATGACAACACACCTGCCTGTCATCGAGATCCGGATTGTGGAGTGCCGAGGTAGGGCTGGCTGCAGTGGCCACATCCATAATGCACCTGTATGATACTGTATGTTAAGAGTTTGTTCTGTGACTTGTACTTCTTGTCCCTGCGGGCTTTTTCTGATGAGATGCAAAAGAACCGGGGGGAAACTCCAGGGAGATCTGATGTTTTGGAAGTTCTCGGCTTTCATCCTATCTTTCTCTGCCTTCAATTATTTAATTTTTTTTCTCCTGTAAATGCCCCACTTCTTTACAGAGATATTTCAGGCTTTCAGTGCCCAACCCCAGAGCTGGTGGAACTGGTCACATTCATAATGCTTTTGCCTGTAGACCTTCCATGCTGGAAGGCTTATTTCCTCTTGGTCCTATCATCCATGGTCTTCCTTGGCAGATGATGGGATTGACGTTCGTATCCGAGGCATCAAAATCAAATCCTCCCGACAGAGGGACTTGGGGCTCAGTGCTGACATGTTCCAGCTGCCCAATTTGGTGCGCTACCCTCGCCTGGAAGGGACTGACCCTGACCTGCTGTACCGCCGGGCCGTGCTTATTCAAAGGTACTGTGTGGAGGGGAGCAGACAGGTGGGGTGGCATTGCCTGCAGGGGTTACTGCCATCTCCAGCATGCATAGGGCTGGATGCTGTAAAGTTGTGTGACTCCCTTTGAGACAGACATTCTGGACACTGGAGAAAATAGCAGAATCATTTGGGAGCAAAGTGGGCTCTCTGGGGTAGCTCCCCTAAGCTTTCAGAGGAGTTTTGCAGCTCAAGTGCAGTGTCTTGTGTGTTGCAAGCACAGCATAGCTGTGCAGTGTGGGGGCATGTATATGCAGAGTCCCTTGTAAGGGAGTGCAAGATTCACTGCAGTGCCCAGGGAGTGGGAATTTAGTACCAAAGGCTGTGTGATGTGAAAAACTACACTGGGTTTGTTTTGGATGAGTTATTATTTTTCTGCTTGTGTCCAGGGGGTGCTTTGTCTGAAATAGACTTGTGCAGATCCCTGTTCCTCCTGCATTGCAATACCTTTTTTGGGATTTAGGTTCATCAAGCTCCTGGACAGTGTCCTACATCACTTGGTGCCAGCCTGGGACCACACTGTTGGCACGTTCAGCAAACTCAAGGTGAGCAGTTCCCTTGATGTCTTGTTGGGGCCTCACTCTGGCAGGGTGACGGTGCTTGGGCTGTGTCAAGGGAGGCAGCCAGTGCTTGTTGCCTTTAAAGCAGCTCAAGAGAAATACCCGGCTGAGCTCAGTTCATTAATGCTGTGAAAAGTGATACTGTTTAGAGGTCAGTTTCCTGCTAAACCACGGATGTGGAAGCATGTAGCTGTGGGGTAACAAGAAGACTCAAACCAGAACATTTCACCCTCCAAAACACTTGGACCATGGCAGCACTGGGCACGTGAGCTGGATACACTTCCCTTACAAGATCTAAGCCCAGGACACTCCGTTCCTGCACTTACTGCCAGCAACTTTGAGCTGGCTGTGTCCAAACTGCAAGGCTTTTACCAGTAACTCATTTCTGGCTTTAATAAGCTTTTGCTTTCCATCTTTCTCATAATGCTGAGTTCATCCCTCCAGTTGTCTGTTTTCCTTACATCCTCTCCAAGAATACATATGCTGGACATAACTGGGATAGCTCCATTCTGTGTGTTTCCAGGCCAGCTCAACATAGGACCCAAAGCATTTGAGGATTCTTGTTTGCTTAGAGGAGCTGGCTTTGATTACAAATGGGAGAAAAAGTAAGATCAATTTTCTGGTGGGAGTGAGGGTAAAGGAGAGTCTAAGCAGTACTGGAGCGTGAGCATCAGATGACAGCTGATGGATTGAGGACTGGGCTTGATGTCTCCCTCAAGCCAGAATGCAGAATGTATTAGAGGCAGAGGGGGAGCAGATATTGCCAAGGAGAGTCTGTCTGTCTGGGAAGGCAGTGGCCCTGGGAAAGGGAGAGACCTGGAGGTGTGGCGTCTACAGTAGGAAGTAGGTGACATGTTTTGTACGTACCTGTTGGCAGCACATCAAGCAGTTCCTGCTGCTGTCCAAGAAGCGCACGGCCCTCATTACCCAGTGCCTGAAGGACTCGGAGACCAGCAAGCCCAATTTCATGCCGCGGCTCTACATTAACCGACGCCTGGCTATGGAGCACCGAGACAACCCTGCCCTGGACCCCAGCTGCAAGAACGCTGTCTTCACCCAGGTACTGTCCCTCCTGGAAGGGTCCCTGCTGCTCTGGGGAGAGTGGGGCATCCCAGAATGAGAATGATCCACAGAAAGGTGGGTGGAAGGGACAACTTGGAGCTGGAGTTACCTAGAGCCCTCAAAGCCTCTTCATGTGACTGTTAGGCTCTCTAATTACATGTGCTGATGATCCCATATCCAGGAATAACATGTAGGAGGTATTTGGGATCTCTGAGTTGAAATCTGTACTCTGTCCTGGATGCTCTCTGTGGCATGTTGTTAATGCGGAGTGTAACAACCTTGTTACACTAAAAGGGCAGCAAAGAATTCTTGTGTGACAACAGTCATGCGGTTGCATACAGTCCCGTGTCATGGTTTTACAGCAGTGCTGATCTTCCTGTGCTCATTTTCTGCCCACCTCCAAAGGATTTAGTGCTCTGTGTGTGCACAAACAGCTCAGACTGCTGTAAAATTTAATGTGTTCAGTGCACCTCTGAGGCTCAGAGGTGGGACACTATAATTTGTGCTCCCTTTCCAAAAATGAAGGGTTTCTAGACCATTTAGAGATCAGCTTCAGTCAGTATTTAATGGTTTGGGGCAAACCAGATTTCTTCCAATTTCCTGCCTTCACCTGGCACCAGTTTCCCTGGAGAAGGGATACCAGCCTTGATCTTCTCTGCTTGTTGCAGGTATATGAAGGCCTGAAACCCTCAGACAAGTTTGAAAAGCCTCTAGATTATAGGTAAGTGGTGTCTGGATGAGAGGGGGCATCATGCAGTGCTGGGAGCTATGTCCTCTGTCACAGCAGAGCATTTGGGAAGCCTTTGTGTGTCCTGTGCTCTGGAGAGGTTTTGCTAGGACAGGAGCCAGTTCAGCCATGGGATGAGGGACTGTTGCCCAAGGTGTCACTTCCCTACTGAGGATGCAACTGTCTCTGGAGATTGAGATCTTGTCCTGTCCTAAGCCCAGGCTGCTCCACTGTAGTCCCCTGGTGTTTCTGCTGTGCCTGCTGCTTTCTCAGCACCTCCTTGGCTTTGAGCAGCACCTCAGGCAATGCCTGGCTTTCTGCAGGTGGCCATTGCGTTACGACCAGTGGTGGGAGTGCAAGTTCATCGCAGAGGGCATCATCGACCAAGGTAGGGACTGCGCGGGGCTCCTCTGGAGCAGTTGGGGTTGATGAGCTGACTGTTCCTGTAGGGGCTCTTGTTTGCTCCCAGTGTTACTGCCCATGGTGGAGAGAGGGAAGGCAGGTTGCCTTGTCCTGCTGCTCCCAGCCATTTCCTAGATGCTGCTTGCTGGGATGGGGATCAGACCTCCATTAGTCACTAACAACAGCTTTATCAGTGCCAGTGCTCCTTCTGGTTGTCCTCCCCGGGCCAGGCAGGGATGTTATTTCTCCTGTCTTATTTCCTCTGGTGCCATAAGGCTCTGACAGGAGCCTTCTGCTAAACCCAGGACCAGGTTGGACCAGGATTCCTCATCTTTCCTCCATAACTGAGGGTCAGCACATGAGGAGTTCACATCTCTGAAAACGTCCTTCTCTTGGGGTTGCAGGTGGCGGTTTTCGGGACAGCCTGGCAGACATGTCGGAGGAGCTGTGCCCCAGCTCAGCAGAGACCCCTGTGCCTTTGCCCTTCTTTGTGCGCACGTCCAACCAGGTGCAATGGGTCGGGATATCTGGGACAGACCCTTCTGGGCCTGGTAATGCAGTGCTGTCCCTGTCCCCTTGCATGCCAGGGACATACCGGCTTCGGCTGGTCCGAAGCTTTTCGTTGTGAAGGGTTGGGTAAATTGTTTTGTGGCATCTCATTTTAGAATATGCTAACAAGTGCCTAGATACTGACTGGTCTGTCACTGGGAATATTGTCAAGGAGGATGGGGGGTTAGCCCACTTCTGCTGTGAGAAGTGCCCAAAGGCATGGCAGGAATGGTCTGTGGGGTTTCATGCTGTGCTGAGATCATGACTTGGAGTTTTGCCTCCCATTCCTGTAGGGTAACGGCACTGGAGAAGCCAGGGACATGTATGTCCCCAACCCATCCTGTAAAGACTTCCCAAAGTATGAGTGGATTGGGCAGATCATGGGAGCAGCTCTGAGGGGCAAGGAGTTTCTGGTAAGCTTTCAACACCATCCCTGTGAGATCTGCTGCAAAGGGAGTTGTTAGCCCCCTCCTGCAGCCTGTCTGACAGGAGTATGCGAAGGCTCTGTGTCAAACACTGGGACTAAAGGTGTTTGGCAGGGTTTGAGGCTGAGGGATTTGGAGAACTCAGAGGCTGAGTCTTGGGGGATGCTGCTGAGAGCCTGGGAGACAGTGCCTGGTCTCTGCTTAGCTATGATGAACTCTGCATGTGGACAGGGGGAGCAGGGAAGGTGCTTTGTGTCTGTGTTGTTGAGCCCTATGTCCTTCTTTGGGGATGTCTCGTTTTCACACAGACTCAGCAAAATTTCTGTTCTCCTTCAGGTCCTGGCTCTTCCTGGCTTCGTATGGAAACAGTTAACAGGGGAGGAGGTCAGCTGGAACAAAGACTTCCCTGCTGTGGACTCTATGTTGGTGAGAGGCACAGCCTCCCAGTTCTTATCCTGTTCCTTGTGGCACTCAGCAGTGTGGTGATTTGTGTCCCTGTCCTCATGTACTTGCTTCCTCCTGTGATCTGTCAAAGAAACACACGCAACAGAGGACAGCTCTTAGCTATAGGGTGCATCTAATGCTAATATAGAGATGCAGCCATACTGACTGCTGCTTTAAGCATGCAGTGGCCCAGGGTCTGCTAAATAGCTCTACAGCAGCATATCCCATGCTGTGTCACTGTCACTTGTCTGGGAAGGGAGGAGACGGGGACCTGGGCACATCACTGCTCACTGGGCGTCTCTCTAACAAGCACTTATTTGGGGCCTGGGCAGGTGAAGCTCCTGGACATGATGGAAGTCATGGACAAAGACACCTTTGAGTTCAAATTTGGGAGTGAGCTGACCTACACAACAGTGCTGAGCGACCAGTGTGTGGTGGAGCTGATCCCCAACGGCAGCAACACCGTGGTGCGCTACGAGGACCGCAAGGAGTTCATCCGCCTGGTGCAGAAGGCTCGGCTGGAGGAGAGCAAGGAGCAGGTAATGCTGTCCCATAGTGTTGGTGGTCATCAGTTCCCAGAGACACCCCACCAGTCTGCTTCTGGTAAAATGCATCGTGGTTGGTGTCCCTGTGCTCACTAGTGCAATGGTAGCCAACCCTTCTGGTGAGGTCCTGGAGCTGATGGAGTTGTTCAGAAGCAGAGTGGCTTGTAGCAGCGTAGGTGATATGGGGTTTTATTCCCAGCTCTGACACAGGCTTCCTTAATGAACTGGGATGCATCCCTCTGGGGTTCTGTCCCCTTCTTCAGGTTCCTTGGAGTGTTTGCTGAGCAGTCATGTGGCTTGCATCCAGTAGAGTCCCTAGACTCAGCCATGAGTCAGGGAAATGGGCAAGACATGCTGCTTACCTGCCCTGTCTCTTTTTCAGATCATGGCCATGCAGGCTGGGCTGCTGAAGGTGGTGCCCCAAGCTGTTCTTGACCTCCTTACATGGCAGGAACTGGAAAAAAAGGTCTGTGGAGACCCTGAAGTCACAGTTGATGCCCTGAAGAAGCTCAGTAAGTGAAGGGCTCTGCTGAAAATTCTTTTCCTGAAAACAAGACTGTCTTCTGTCTGTGCTGGGACAAGAAGTGTGGGAGGCTGGTGTTAGCCTTTATTACAGTGACAGTGTGGGCCTGTGTACTTCCTGGCTTTAGCTGGGTGCTGATGGGGGCAGAGGTGTCTCTTGACTCCATGCTGGGCCTCAGAGTAGAGTCTGGGACATCCCTATGCTGTCAGTATCTGAGCCCCTGTGTAGCTGATATGTCTGCATGTGTCCCTTGCACCTTGGGTCTATGTGCTCCCACCCTGTGGGCACCCAGAGGTTTTTTCCTGTGCTAACAAAGAAGGAGCTGGGATCTTTAATAAACTCCTTTTCTGTGTCCTTTCTGCCAGCCCGGTTTGAGGACTTTGAGCCACAGGACACCCGTGTTCAGTACTTCTGGGAAGCACTCAACAACTTCACCAACGGTGAGCGCTTTGCTCTGTCCCTGCATCTCATGCCATGACAGCTCCTGCATGCTGGCTGGGAACTGGGAAGGTGAAACCAACCCTCATTGCTGCCTGGGGAACAGCTGGGAGCCAAGGAGAACAAGCAGCTGGGCTGAAGGGACTGCTTGCTAGCACTGGGGATACCTGGAAGCAGCTGTACATCCCTCTAGGGTTTGCTGATACTTTTGCTTTTCCTTCACAGAGGATCGCAGCCGCTTCCTTAGATTTGTCACTGGCAGAAGCCGCCTTCCAGCACGGATCTACATCTATCCAGACAAGATGGGGTAAGTCCATTCTTCTGTAGGCTGCAAGGCTGACAGATCCCATGCCAAAGGGATGTGTGGTCTCATCTCCACTGCCTCACTGGCCTGCTGGTTCTAACCAGTTTGTCACCATCTCCCCAAGCTCTGAGACGACAGATGCTTTGCCGGAGTCATCCACCTGCTCCAGCACTCTCTTCTTGCCCAACTATCCCACGTAAGTTTTGGTGCTTCCCTGTGTCTGGGAGACTGTGTGTCTGGGTTCTCTTCTTAACCTTGGTGCTGACCCATAGGGCCACACTTACGTCTCCTGCCTGTCCCATATGGTTGTTGAGATTCTCTCTGTGAACAGCTGGTGAACATTTTGTCCTCTCAGCTGGCGAATGCATCAGTGGAAACTCCTCCTTATCTTTATTTTTTTTCCCCTTCTGCCATCCCTAGAGCCAAGGTGTGTGAAGAGAAGTTGCGCTATGCTGCCTATAACTGTGTGGCCATTGACACAGATGTGAGTCCGTGGGAAGAGTGATGTTGCAGCCTGACCAAGCAGCATGGACAGTCATTCAAGAAAACCGTGCAGTGGGAAGAGCTCCCTTGTTTTTCCAGGATGTGTATATATAATAAACATATAGGTGAAGCCTGGCTCCCAGAGTGGATATGGAGGTTGGGTCTTCACCAGGGTGGGAGCTAGCTTGGAGTGTAAATATGATTGCAATAATGAAATCCTGGCCCAGCTCTCAGGCATCAGGAAGGTCTGGTAGGCTTTTGTAGTGAGTTTCTTCTCCACATGTCCCTGTTGTAGCTCTGTAAAGCTCGCCCCACCCAGGCTGCACTCTGCTGCAAACAGAAGTGGGACAGGGACTTGAAGCTGCACAGCACAGAGAACTCTGAGCTGCTGCTGAGACCGGGGGAGGCTCAGAGATGCTCAGTGTGTCTTGACGACATTCCCTTGCCTTGTTCCTGCCCTCGCCTTAGGCTAATGGAAATGAGATCATTCATCTAGGATTCAGAAGAAAAGGGGTGGGCTGGTGGCAGGTGCTGCAGGGGTGCCTTTGGCCACCAGGTGTCATGACAGACCTGCACAGCAGGACTGTGGGTGCTTTGGAATGGACTCCCATGCTGTTACATCGCACAAAATCCAAGTTCTGTGACCACCCGTGGTTCCTTGCACCCCTTGCACAGCAGTGACTGCTGGGGGAGCTGCTCCCCCACAGGAGATGGAAACTGTCTATTTGCTTTTTCCTCCGTAACTTTCAGTTCTGCATCCAGCATGCTGGTGGCTTGGCAGCTGTTCTCCCAGGCTCTTTGAGCCTTGATTTTCCCCTAAAAGCCAGTATTAACACTAATCTATTTGAGTTCTCATGGAGCTGTGCAGGCAGGGCCAAGCTCTCCTCACAGGCGGCAGGGATTAGGGGCAGGCATGGCAGTACCAGGCTCTGCTCTTTGCTGAGGGAAGGGAGGTGGATGTTTCAGGTGAACAGGGAAAGCCTTTGCCCCAGGGCAGTGGAGAAACTCTGGGTGTCAAGAATTGGAGCTCCTTGAGCAGATGGGCATGCAGTGCGTGAGCAAGGAGTGGGCAATGAAACCTTTACAGCTTCAAGACCATTGGGAATACTCCTTGATATTCCCAGCCCTGAGCAGGGCTGCTCATTGCCTAGCACTGTGAGCTACCAATTGTTAGTCCACGTTTATACCTCCAACTCCATCCTCAGCCTGTGTGGTCTGTTGGACCACCACTAAGAGCCACAGAGTCACTGAGGCTGCACTGGAGTGGGGCTGATGCTGTGAGTTAAGATTATTCCTGTGTTTAATGCTTCATGGCTTTTTCTCATCTTTTGAGGGAGTCTGTTAACCAGAAATCACTTCCAGTTGTAAACAAAGTCCTTCCCTTCACCAGTTTCCTTTGAAATTGCTGTAGTCCCAGATCTGCTGAGGGGGGTTGTGCTAAAAGGGATGTAGGAGCAGGAGGGAGCATGTGCTGCCACCTCCCACATCGTGGTGAGTGGAGGGAGCACAGGGTGAATGGGGAAGCTGTTTCTGGCAGTCCTTGCCTGCAGCAGGGCCTTCCATGCTCAGCTGGGTGGGTGTGAAGTCCTGTCTGCCAGAGGAGTTTTTTTATAAGTCCTAGACTCATCTCAGAATTGATATCTCTGGCTTTGTGGCTGATTCCAACCACCAGCATGGACGGGAGCAGAGCCAGTGCAGTACCTTTCCATGGTGGTGGCTGAGTCCCTTCCTGGGGTGTCTGTTTTAAATGGGCGTGAGCAAGCTGGTGAAAGGACTTTGATCTGCTGGCTTGGCCTCAGTCAGGAGTGTTGGGGAAGGAGCCTGAAGCAGCAGGGGTTTGAAATGAGCCATCCTAGATCTGAAAGGGACTGACATTTGGGTGGAATCAATCCTGCTTTTTCCAGCCTTGCCCACTTGTCTCTAAGGCAGATCAGCAGGCAGTCACATTATTTACTGAGCAGAACTAGAAGCAGCAATAAAAATTGATTCCTCTCTGGTGCTTTATTGCTGGGCAGGGTAGGGTTGTTTGATAAGTGGCTCAGGACAGGATGGATAAGGCCCTAGCCTTTGGTGAAGGGTGGGCTGACGTCACCTGTGGGAATGGGCAGGTTAGGATCCAGCTAGGGCTGCTTGGGATGACCAGCTGTTGGCAAGCAGGCACCTCTGGCTCTGCTGCCCTTGGAAGCAGCTGCAGCTGATGGAGGGTAACTGAGGTAATTATGGAGGTGTACCCTGACCTCTTATTTCCTGCTACCAAGAAGAGATCTGCTCAAGGGCTTACTGGAGCTCTGGGGAAAGAATCTAGCTGGTGACAGGGATTTCTGTTTAAAAAATACTTGTAGTAACAGGACCCTGGCCCTAGCAGAAAGGGGATCACCCAGGATGGTCTGGGTTTAACCCCTACAAGCATACTGAGAAAAATGGCACTGGCTGTACCGGGCTGAGGAGACCTGTGAAAGCCCTTCTAGTAGGAGGAAGAGCCGATCACATCACTGAGGTCTCGGGTGAGATCGTTTTGTGCACAGTCAGAGAGTCTGGACAAACGTGGCTGCTGAGGAAGGACGACGCCAGGATAACCCGCAGATCACACTGTTGAGTTTGCTGTGCAAAGGTGAGCTGGGAAGGGGGAGCTGGGAAGTGGCCTGAATCTCCTCTGCATGGTCCTCTCTCATCTGTGGTGTTTTAAAGCCAGTCGCAAATTGAATTTCTGCTGTGACAGCCCAGTGAATTGTGGAAAAGGTCAGCCTGACTCAACTCTGGCCAATCTCAGGGGCCCAAGGTAGGTGTTATTTCAGTGCTGGGTCACATTTTTTCTCTGATCTCTAAAGGTGTGGGTAGGAACTGTCTCCTACCATGTTTGGCAAGACACAAGTCAAATGCCAATGCCCTGGACTCCTTCTGGATGTGGCCCAGGGTGAGGGAGCCCTCCTGGGCGCCAGGAACCAGAGGCTGTGCATCTTCACCCCATCAACCAGTCTGAAGTCCGTGGAGATCAATTTTCAAGCCAATGCCATCCTGAGAAAGGTGCCAGTGCCCCTGTGCTGCTGAGAAGAGGAGTATCTGCGTGCCAGAGCTGCAGCTCTACAGAGTGGGTAGGGATGAGCTGGAGGAGGGACTGATGCCATCAGGATTGTCATAGAATAGTTTCAGGTGATTAATAACACTCATGTAGTCTAGCTGTTCTTGTTATTCCACTAATACCCTGGAGTATGACAAACTGTAAGTAGTTTGACAGGTTCTGTCTGTCCCTACCTCATGTAGGATCTAAAATAAAATGAACAAACTAATTGCTCCTGACCTTTCTGGTGATTGGTGTGGTCTGGCTGGGGCTCCTGTGTCCTTCTGTTGGGTTAAACAGTGAATGTGACACTCAGGGACATGGTTTAGTGATGAACATGGCAGAGCTGGGTTTACAGTTGGACTCAATGATCTTAGAGGCCTTTTCCAACCTAAATGATTCTGTGATTCTAAACAGCAGGGGAGACTGGTGTCATGAGAGGCAGCTGGAGGTGAAGTGGAAACTGGCCCTGTGGTCCCCTTTGCACACAAAGTGGTGTCATGGAAGTGACTCAGAGTATTAATTGGCTCAACCCTTTGCAGCAGCTCTGCAACCAGTGTTACAGGGTGATGTGGCATGCAGAGGGAGGGCACAGGACCCTCCTGGCTGTGGTAACTGCAGGCAGAAGCAAGGCAGAAGTCTGCATTTCTCTCACACTGTGGTGCGGGGCACTTTGCTCCTGGCAAGGCAGGTACCCATTACTGTGTTGAGGCACAGTCACGCCTGTTCAACAGATAACGCTGCGGGGGTGACAGCTGTTGGATCAGTTTGCACTGTGCCTTTGTAGCCAGAGATGGAACCGGACTCTGACCTGCCAGGAGAGCAGTGCGGCACCAGAACAGTGCAGGGACCTTTGAGCTCTGCCAGGCTGGTTGTTTCATGATCCCTAAATGTGGCCTTTAGTGCCCAACCTGAAGAAATTAAGGAAGTGTGGGGTGGATCTGAGTTGCTCTCTGCCACCACCCTGCCGTGGTATGTAACAGGCAGGTGTGACGTGGGGTGACACACTGCCAGTGTTCTGGATGGTTGGGTACTGCTGCCAGGATGCCACTGCTGGCTGGGGTAAAGCTGCTCCTGGGTCAGGAAGCCTGTCATCCTCTCCAGCTGATGCTGGAGCATCCCCACCAGGGTCCAGCCTGCCGGCGGCAGGAATATGTCCCCCTGCCTGGGGCAGGAATATGTCCCCCAGCTAGCCGGGAGCTGGTTCTCCCCATAGCAGGATACCTGCTGCCCTCTTTTCCCTATCCAGGCTGGAGAAGTAGCCCTGTGCCCTGACACCACAGGGACCCCGTCTTTGCTTGCGGGGATGCCGGCAGTGACAAAGATGTTGGAAGCCGGGGAAAGCAGAGTCCTAAGCCGTGGGGTGAGGGGATGCCTGTGACCTGAGTCAGCTCCTGCCGAGAAGTGAGGGACTGGGGTGGGCGTAACACAGTCACGTCTTGGCAAAGGGGGGATAGCGGAGGCCCCAGAGCCGGGATTGCGGCCCGGGACGGATGACGGGCTGGGACGTGCTGGCGGACACGGGCGGAGCGGAAGCCGCCCGGGGAGGAGGCGGCGACGGGCCACGAGGGCTGCCGAGGCGGCGCGGCCCCGGAGACAGACGGGCGCGGCGGACCGCCGGGGCGAACGGCCCGCGGTCACCTTCCGGGCGGGCAGCGCCGGGCCGCAGTTCGGGACAGCCCGCTGGGCGCAGCGGGAGGCAGGTGCCGCGTGCGCCGATGCGGGCGGGCGGGGAGGCGCCGCCACCAGGTGCTGGGTCCGGCTGCAGTTCCTGCTGCAGTGCAGCGAGGGTTTCCGCTGCGCCCGGGCGCTGCCCGGCCGCGCCTCTTTGCTACATGTGCCCAAGGAGTGCAGTACAAGATCTGCAAAGGACCCCGCCGGCCGCCGCCGCCGCCGCCGCCCGCAGACCTCCTGAGCGTTGCTGGGACAGCCCGGGGCCGGCGCGGGGCGGGGAAAGCAGGGGCCGGCGCGGGCCACCATCGAGGTGCGAAGGCGGCTGCCTCCGCGCCACCGGCGAGGAGTACTGCAACGGCGCCGGGCTCTGGGTCAAGCTCAGCAAGGTAACGGCGGCA